AATGATGGTGCCAACTTGGGCCAGTGAAGCAACGTCCTCCACAACAAGACTGAAGAACAAAAGGACAGCAACTTGTCTGTTCCCCTTCCCCCAATTCCCCAATAAAAATCTTTAAAAAATAAAAAAAGAATATTCTTTGTAAAATGCAAATTTGGTCACATTACTCTTCTGCTTAACAGATTTTGATAGTTTCCCACTGCTTATGAGAGGCAAACTCCTTATCACAACAAACGGCCTTTCCTAGTCTGGGACCCTGCCTTCCTCTCCAGGTTCATCTCAATCACTCAAAGATTTGAGTGCCTACTATGTGCTGCATACTGTTGTAGGTTTGAAGGACCCAGTGTAAACAGGGCAGACAAAAATCCCAACACTCATGAAACTTCTTACTTCTACGGGAGAGATTTAATAAATAAATATGCAAATAAGTAAAGAAAATTTTTAAGTAATGATAAGTGACATGAAGAAAATAAAATGGAAAAGAAAGGAATGGAGAATTTTAATAACAGCAACAGTTTTTTTGTTATTATTTTATGTAAGTCAAGCCTAGATGACATGCACAGAACATATTTTAATAAGCCAAAAGGTAGGCCTACTTTCATCCATCTTAACAAAGTTCTTAATTCACAAATTTAAAATTCCCCAGATTTCACAGCAGTATATTCACTGTGGTATGAACCCAGAAATAGAGTGCTTATTACACAATGTACTCACTTGTGCCACATAATAAAAGTTGCTCTCTGTGTTGAAATGCCAAGACCAACAATTTGATTCATCTCTATTTCTGCAGCTAAAAATAAAGATAGATAAAACACTTGTTTAAAAGCCAGTGAAGGTTTTTGTTGTAATACTATAGCATGGAAAAGAAATCACTGAGTATAAACTTTGAAAAAAATATCTGGGTTTAGAATTTTAATAACACAATTTGAGTTAATAAAGAAAACATTATTAAGATGACTTTCTAGTATTTTCTTTACTTAAAAGGAAAAAAGGTCATATTCTAATTTTTAAAATGGTCTTTTTGCCTTTAAACATTATTAAAAAAACAAACACTACTGAAAGTCAGTCAGATTGTATTTTTTTCTTGATAATACTAAAAGATCGGATCTTAATTTAAGCCATGATCAACCATAATAGAAACTGGTATATGGTAATAAAGGAAAATCCCTCGGGAAAGTAACATAATTATTGAAGACCAGATCTTATTTTCCACACAAACAGATGCTAGGAGGCAAATAAAAACATAGTTTTTTAAATCCAAATTTCTTAAATTATAGCAACTTGAGTGTTTTTTGTGATATTCTTTTAAAAAAGCATTTTAGGTCCGGCTGAGTGGCGCATTGGTTAAGAGCTGGCTTGGGATGCCAGAGGGCCCCGGTTCGGATCCCATATATGAGAGCCAGTGACACTGCCCTCTACAGCTAAGATGCTGAACAATAGCTCAACTTGGAGCTGGGCTGCTGTGAGTCGCTGGCGACGGCATAGGCTGCAACCCCTGCTGCAGTGGGTTGCCATGGGCTACCATGTGTAGCCAGCAGCCAGCGGGAGTGGCCAGCAGCCGCAGTGAGCAGACATCCAGAAGTCGGCGACTGATCTGCCTCACCCGGGAAGAGTGCAATGATGGTGCCAACTTGGGCCAGTGAAGCAACGTCCTCCACAACTAGACTGAAGAACAAAACCGACAGCAACTTGTCTGTTCCCCTTCCCCCAATTCCCCAATAAAAATCTTAAAAAAAAAAAAAAAGCATTTTATCCCACTGGGCAAATTAGGGACAACTTTAAATTTGAGCACTGAGGATGACAAATAACCCCTATTCTGTACTCCTTCCAAAAATACTTATCCTGAATCTAATCATGTGGAAATAATCAGACAACCCCAAAACGCAGAAAAGTCTACTAAATTGGTCTACAATTTTGAAGACTGTTAATGTCACAAAGAACATGCTGTCGTTGAGAGACTCTACAGACACTACTAAATGCAATGCCTCATTTTGGTTAGATTCTGGATTGAATAAAAAGTTATTAATGAATAAGAGAGTAGGGGATACTGAAGACTAAGTATTAGAAAATATTACCATATTAATATTTAATATCGTGTGTGATAATTGCATTATGGTGATACAGGAGGATACTTTTTTTCTTTGGAAATAATGCAGAAGTATTTAGGAATAACAGATTATTATGTCACAACCAATCCTCAAATGGATCAGCCAAAAAAAGTTTATAGAGGATGGTACAGTAAACATTGTAAAACATGTCTGAATCTTGGAGAAAATTATACAGGTGTTCAATGTACTATTCTTGCAAATTTTGTATAGGTTTTGAAATATTTCAAACCAAAAAGGTGAGGAGAAGCAATTCAGCCAGGAAAAAGAAGTAAAAGACCAAAAGACCGTTTAGAATTTACATCTACAAGTCATCTTTCATCGTGTTCTTAAAGAAGGTTGCATTGAAAACTTCTTAAAGAGCTGAGATTTCAGACCACGGCTATCGCCAGGAAAGCACTCTGCATCAAGAAATTACACACAAAAAAAACAAAAGTTTGTTTTACAATCAAGGTTATTCAATTGTAACTTCTATCAACGGGAACTGTGTGTTGTAACTTTGTTTATAACCTGCTAGTATTTTGTACACAACAGAAAATCCAATAGGCACTAGCTACAACCTAGAATGAAGGTGGAAGGTGAGCCTTTATACTGCGGCTGGAAAAACCTTAAACCAGAGAACAGAACTGCTGTTATCCCTCCTGGACAAAGTGGTTCACTGTAAACTGCAAAAGTCCCCTAAAAAATACTGGGAAACTGTTGTGAAAGGAAAACTGCAAAATGGAGTTAATATTGTCAAGAGAACAACCTAAAATGGAGCCAGCAGGACTCCAGGAAGCTGAGCTAACTCATTCCTTCCAAGTGAAACTAAACTTTTGAACTTGCCTAAACCAAACAGCTACATCCTGATACATGTGTACTTCCTGGAACTGGCTCTGCATCATTGATCTCTCTACTACAAAATAAAATGTTCACCTAGCAATAGACATAAGCAATTAGTCATGTATAGAGCACAGTGTAAGTCTGCCTGACAGCACCAATCTCAGTTCCTTCAAAGCAACTTGTGCCCGTTTTCTGTCTTTATAAACTATGTCCCTTTCACGCTCAGAATACAGTTGGGGTTTCTAACCAAACTTACGTTTCTGAATTGCAACTCTTAAAAGACCCCAAATGAAACTTTCATTTGCCTTGCCATTCTTGGTCAAAACGGATTGACACTGTGACCCCAATAAAATACTATATGTATAATTATAACTTAGGAAACCCACAAAATTCTACCGATGCCTGCGGAAAACTCTTGTTACAAACAAAACATATTTTACTAACTATTTTTATTTTTATAAATCCAATTACCTTTGACAGATTCTTTTATTACAGCAACAAATTGAAGCCAGAGAATGTCAGGATCAATTTCAACCCAGCCAATTTGAGGATAAAGACTTTCTACCTATGGAAAAGAGAAGAGTATTCGTTAAAATCACTAACAATATGATTTTATTATCTAATTCATTTTTATTGTTAAGGTGGAAAAAAATACATATATGAAATTAAAAAGGACACACCAAAATAACAGTAGTTTTCATTAGTTCATGAGTTGACACAGAAGATTTTAGCTTTATTTAATCTTTATCTTTATTTTCCAAGTTTATTTTATTTTCCAAGTTTTCTATAAGAAGATGTGTTATTTGTGTAATAAGAAAAAAGTCAGACTTTTAAAATACAAAAATTAACAAATCAGCAAGTTCTCGTTGATTATGGTGGCACAAGCACAGGCCACCCTGTCTCCCCCACTGAATACAGTTACAAAACCCTGACAAAATGCACAGAGCAGCTATTTGTGGACTCAAAAAGGTATATAGGGGCAAAGTGGGTTTGAAGAATTCAAGTACCACTGAGCTGGTGGTAAGTTTCCCACTTTTCTTCTGGTATCCCCTGGCCTGGACTCAAGGAAGCCGCAAAAACCAGCAGTGGGTAGCAGCTGCAGTGGAAACCCCAGGAGAAGCTCTCTTTTCTGGCTAACACTCAGAGGGAATGGGAGAAATCTCCCAATTTCTTTCCTTTTTTACCCCTTGTCTTGATACTTTTGGACCCAGGTTATCACGTAGTGGTGGCTGCAGCAGTAACCACAGCACCTAAAATATTGAGGGAGGTAAAACTTCCTCTCCAATCAGAGGAGCTAGGGGTCCAAGAGGGTAAGGTGGAACCCCCATGGCTTTTACCTCTCTCTGTGCTCCTGATACCTAGCCCTGTGTGGGCGTACAAAGTGCTTGGCAGAATAGGTAATGAAAGCTCCAGCTGTCTTTCAAGAGGACTCAAAGAGCAGTAGGAAGATCTCAGAGAAGGAGTAGCTTCAGAAAGCTACTCTAGAAGGTGTGTATGATTCCCTAGACTCACCTAGAAGGTGTACATGTGTAAGTGTAACCTAAACAGTAGAGCACAGATGTAAAAAACAGAACTACGGGAGAGACCATGGCCCAGGTCCCAGACTAACCACTTGGTAGCACATACACAGGGCATATTCAAATAGTACTATGAAGGTTTTGAAAAGAGAACTGACATTGAAACCCAAGTCCACAGAAGGCTGGTCAGAATTTGTAGCCTGAACCCAACTGCATTAATTGCCTGCTAAAAGAAACATATCAACATTCATCATAGGATTTACACAAGACCCAGAGTCTTATACCATGATATTCAAAGTGTCCAGGACACAATCCAAAATTACAAAATACATGAAAACCAGAAAAATCTCAACTCACATAGAAGATAATCAATAGATACCAACGCCAAGATGACACAGATATCTGATAAATGTTTAAAGCAGCTATTATAAAAGTGCTCTAAGAAGTGAGGGTGAATTCTTTTGAAACAAATGGAAAGATAGAAAGTCTCAGCAAAGATATAAAAAACATGAAGAAAAACAAAATGAAATTTTTAGAATTGAAAAAATACAGAAATGAAGGGAGTGGGAGAAATGGAGAGAGATGCTGGTCAAAGGGTACAAACTTTCAGTTATAAGATGAATAAATTCTGAAGACCTAATGTATAGCATGGTAAATATAGCAGTTAATAATGTATTGTACACTTGAAATTTGCTAAGAGAGTAATTCTCAAGTGTTCTGAACACACACACACACACACACACACACACACACACAGTAATCTTGTGAGGTGATAGGTATGTTAATTAGCTTGATTGTGGTAATCATTTCACAATGTATATATATACTAAACATCATGTTGTATACCTTAAATATATACAACTTTTACTTGTCAAACAATTTAAAAAATATATAACCATTAAAATAAAAAACATACAGGGGCAGCTGGGTGGCTCAGTTGGTTAGAGTATGTGCTCTGAACAACAAGGTTGCTGGTTTGACCCCCACAGGGCCACTTTGAGCTGCGCTCTCCTAAAACAAACAAACAAACAAACAAAACATACTGGATGGGCTCAATAGAACGGAGACAGCAGGAGAATGTCAAAAAACCTGAAGATAGATCAATGGAGATTATCTAATCGGAACAACAGAGAGAAAAACTTTGGAGAAAATGAATAAAGCCTGAGGGAATCTGTGGGAAAAGAGCAAAAGATCTAATATTTATGTCATCAGAGTCCCCAAAGAAGAAAAGAAAGAGTTCCATGCAGAAAAAAATTAATTCAGGGTCGTAATAGAGCTAAAAACTTCACAAGTTCAGTGAAAGATTTAAAATCTATATATTCTAGAAGGTTAGAAAACTCCTAACAGGATAAGTTCAAAGCCTTACACTTCCAGATTTAGAATAGTTAAAATGATGAAAACCAAAAACAAAGAAAAAAGTTTGAAAGCAGCCAGGCTCATTATATGTGCAAACAATGATTGGGATGACTGTAGATTTTTTATCAGAACCACGAAGGCTAGGAGAAAGTAGCTCAACATTTTCAGTGCTAAAAGAACTGTCAAAATCCCAGTAGGACTTTTTGTAGATATAGACATGATGATTCTAAAATTTATATGGAAAGTCAAAAGAACTGAGATAGCCAAATGAATGTTGAAAAGAATAAAATTGGAGGAATCACACCCAACTTCAAGACTTACTATAAAGCTATAGTAATCAAAAAGATATGATACTAGCATAAAAACAAACAAATAGGTCAACGGGACAGAATAGAATGCAGAAATAGACCTACTCAAATATGGCTAATTGATTTTTGACAAATGTACTGGGCAATTCAATGGAGAAAAGATAGTTTTTTCAACAGAGTTGGAAAAATTTATAATATCCATGTGCAACAAAAATTAACTTTAACCTAAACCTCGTATTTTATACAAAAATTAACTCAAAAGGGATCATAGCTCTAAATGTAAAAGTGTGACTTGGAGCTAGAAGAAGAGTTCTTAGACATGACACCAAAAGTATCATTCATAAAACAAAAAAATTATAAATTGGACTTCATCAAAATTAAAAATATCTGCTCTGCAAAAGATACTGTTAAGAAAATGAAAAGACAAAGTACAGACTGGTTGAAGATATCTGTAAATCACACATCCAATACAGGAATTATATCCAGAATATATAAAGAAATCTCAAAACTCAACAATAAGAAAACAAACCTAATTAAAAAATGGGCAAAAGACTAGAAGAGGCACTTCAGCAAAGAAGATATATGGACAGCAAATATGCACATGAAAATATTCAACATCATAGCCTTTAGGGAAATGCAAGTCAAAAACCAAATGAGACTACACATGAAACTAATATTAATTAATTAATTAATTAATTTAAAAAAACAAACACCAAATGAGACACTACTACATCTATTAGAATGCATGAAATTAAAAAAAAAACACATCAATAATATCAAGTGTTGGTGAAGAACAAATAGAACTCTTACACATTGCTGGTGGGAATGCAAAATGGTATAGCTACTCTGGAAAAGTTGGGTAATTCCTTCTTAAATTAAACATTTACTCACCATCTAACCCAACAATCCCACTCCTACATATTTATTCTAAAGAAATAAAAACTTACATACACATTAAAAATCTATGGGCCGGCCGAGTGGCGCATTGGTGAAGAGTTGGCTTGGGATGCCAGCTCTGAGCAGCAGGGCCCCAGTTCAGATCCCACATGGGGGCCAGTGACACTGCCCTCTACAACTAAGATGGTGAACAACAGCTTGACCTAGAGCTGGGCTACCACAAGTCGCTGGCGACAGCGTAGGCTGCAGCCCCTGCTGCAGTGGGCTGCCATAAGCTACCGTGTGTGGCTGGCAGCCAGCGTGAGCCAAGAGCCGCTGTGAGCAGCCGTCCAGAGGCCAGCGACTGATCTGCCTCACCCAGGTAGAGCGCAATGATGGTGCCAACTTGGGCCAGTGAAGCGACGTCCTCCACAACTAGACTGAAGAACAAAAGGACAGCAACTTGTCTGTTCCCCTCCCCCGATTCCCCAATAAAAAAACCTAAAAATAAAATCTATAAAAATGTTAATAGAAGCTCTATTAAAAATCACCAGAAACTGGAACTAACCCACATGTACTTCAATGGTGAATTAATGTGATACATCTATAATGGGTTACTACTCAGAAATAAAATGAATGGACTACTGATACACACAAAAATGTGGACAAATCTCAAAGGAATTATGCTTAAAAAATAAACCAATCTCCAAAGGCTATTTACTGTATTGTTTCACTTAAATGACATTCTCAAAAAGAAAAGAAAAAAACTATAGTCATGGAAAATAGATCAGTGGTTATTAGAGGCTAGGTGGAGGAAGAGGGTTATAGCACAAGGGAGTTAGCACAAAGGGCTAGCACAAGAGAGTGTTTTGGATTACTCCTATACATGTGCTAAAACTCACAGAAGGTATTCGCCAAAGTCAGTTTTACTGTATATTAGTTTTAAAAATACAATAAAAAGAATCTATGGCTTCAGGTTAAAATGATGGCTTGAACATATGCATTTTATCTCTAATTTCTCTCAAGACTCAAAATAGAAACATTAAGAAGTTTTACACAGAAGGACAATGAGAAGAGAGCAAACAGTGTCAGACCATGTTTTAACAAAATTTTTTAATATCAACAGTGAGTAGGTGGTGGTACATGGCCAAACACAGGGGAGAAAACTGATACCTCACTTCCTGCTCAGATTAACCACATCTCTGCTCAACCTCTGGCAGATATTCTAGGGTAGAACCCTAAAAATCACAGGTACCTCCAGAGGCTGGGATGCCAGATGGGGCTAAACAAAGGATTGGTTCAAAGTCTTTTATAAGCATATCCAATTCCTCTCCTACAGCCAGATTACTGCCCCTCCCTAGCCAGGCAGAAGGTAAGAGGTCTGTGGGGACTGAACCAGAGAAGTTCTTTTCTTGCAAATATACTAGCTCAGAGATAGCTGAGTAGGGTAAGACGTGGTACTGAAAATATGAACAGATAACCACCCATAGATGACCATTTAAGGAAAA